TTCAATTTTAAAAACATGAACTATGGATACGTTCCATAAGTCGTAGGCACAGTGTTGTCTTTTGTTCCTCTTTCCTTGTCGATTTGAGCGTGTTACATGCATGTAGGCGGAAAGCGAGAGATGGCGTACTATGATGAATTATAAACCATGAATCTTTGATGACTATTTAAAACTACTGGCTCGAATCTAGTGCTTGCCTTAGTCGCCAGATTTATACATTTTGATTTAATACTCTTCAACTCAGTAATTGTATTGTTGTTAGCTGTTTTGATTCGAGCGTCACTAATGAGTCTTCTGCAGACAAAATGCACGTTTGCACAAGTAATTGCAAGTATAAGCCCGACACACTCGATGACTATTTATGCATTATGACCGAAAGCGCCTCCTCATTGGTGTTTTCCAACTTGTCAAAAGCAAACACGACAGTTGCCCCTATTAGAGCAGGCACTGTTTATTTCTCAGCTTCTTAGTACAGCACTCGGTTTTCGTATGGTTCGTGTAAAATCTTTAATTACTTTTTTTCATAATGTTTTGTGACCTATCAGTGCTTATCTTTTTGTCACGGGATTGTCATTCCTATCTCGACTTATAATTGTATCAGGCCCTAGGTATCGTTTTTATTTTGTTGGATTCAGGGGATTCATCAGCTTGAAAACATAAAGTCCGTGTAAATCTGGTTGTTTTGTTGAAATCTGTTGATGAATTTCCATTCCGACAATTTCTTTTAAACAACCATATCTTTAAGGGTAATAGATAAAATTTCTTCAAAAACAACCATAAGTTTAAGGGTAAAAACATTTTTGCGCCTGTCCCAAGTCAGGAGCCTCTGGCCTTTGTTAGTCTTGTATGTTTTTTAATTTTAGTTCATTTATATGTTTTGGAGTTTAGTGTGACGTCCATTTTCATTGAACTTGTACACAATTTTATTTAGGGGCCAGCTGAGGACCACCTCCGAGTGCGGGATTTTTTCGCTGCATTGAAGACCCATTGGTGGCCTTCGACTGTTGTCTGCTCTTTGGTCGGGTTGTTGTCTCTTTGGTCGGGTTGTTGTCTCTTTGACACATTCCCCATTTCCATTCTCAATTTTATTCTAACCAGTAAATGTTTATTTGGTACTGAAATTAAATCAAACATTTTGAATGTCATTTTCCTCTGAATAAATGTTTTAATCACTCAAATAAAGATTAGACTTGGATTTTTTGGCTGTTGTGTCTATTTGGTATCATACATTTGTAAATACTATCACGTGATCGGTTCCGCTGGTGGCAGACGATATTTTTTTACCAGTCAGTTAACAAAAGGTACAATCTGTTCAAGAATTAAAAGTTTTGTTACTGTTTTCAATTTATAAAATATAGAATCGAACTTGAATAAAAATTGTTACCCCCTTTCAGCACAGTCAAAAGGGATCTAATAAGGGAGCTACCATTTGATTTTTATGGGGGGGGGGGGGGGGGGGGGGGGGGGGCTAGGATGAAAAATTTTGTTCTGCATTTTTTTTAGTTGTTATCTCTGTCCTGCCTTTTTATTTTTCACTCTATTCGGTCCTGCCTTTTTTTTATTAGTTTATCCTGACTTTTTTTTACATAAATTGTCATCCTGCCTTTTTTTTGCCAAGTTGCTCATCCTGCCTTTTTTTTACTCAAAACTCCTGTCCTGCCTTTTTTTTTCAAATTTCATCCTAGCCCATATATGAATCAGGCTGTTGGTTTTCTAGTTTTATATGCTCTTCATTTTGTCATGTCGGTATAGGATTTGCTCATTGTTGAAGGCCGTAAGGTGACCTATAGTTACTGACTTCTACATCATTTGTTCTCTTGTAGACAGTTGACCCATTGGTATAAAATAAGGAGATGTGGTATGATTGCCAATGAGACAACTATCCACCGGTATTATAGTAGTAAATCGGTTGTATATGTTAATGAAATTGAATTATGAGTGTATCCTAGTCATTGCCCCCTACCTTGGGGAACTTAATTTGGATAAACACATGTTGTATTCCATAGTATTGTATTGTCATTATACATTATCTTCAAGCAATTCTTTTTATATTTTTTCTACTATACTAGAAAATATCCTGTTTTGAAAGTCCCATTTATTGACTCCACCCAAGAATTTCATCAATTTTGGGTTGTCATGTTTAGGACAATAAAGATTACTTTTATACATATCATGTTACTAGGGTACGTGTGTCCTTCCTTTCAGATGTAAACATTATAGGTGATGGTTAAATGATATGGCGGTTGACCTATTTTCAGCCATCATAGGAAATACATTTTTTTTCCAAAAAAAAAAAAAAAAAGAAGAAAAAAACATGGTCCGTTTTATCTACATCCTATGGAAATTCTATTTTTTATGTTTTCGTCTTATATATAAGACAGAATTGTCGTTTCGTATCAATGTGACATCTTCGTACAAGACCAATCTCATCTTCTGTGCAACAACTTACCGATGGCAACAAAAGTAAGTTATCAAAGATCACTCAAACAACAAATAAATATTCTAGGCACAATTAAGAGCTTGACATATATTGTAACCATTTGTTTAAGATCGACGTTGTCCTCCAGATTTCCTTTTGTGTTGTTGGATAGCTGTCTAATTCACATACACGTTATCCAACCTATCTAGTTATTCCCATACCTAGCAAAAGAAAATTGTTACTTCTTATTCAGTTGCTCATGCTTAATATTCAATTCAATCCTGCAATGATACATTTCAAAATGCATACCAAAATCTATTCGATTTTCATGATTTCCGGTGACATGTAGGTGGAACTTCGCTTCTTCTTTTCTGTTTAAATGTACTATACTATTACCTTGTAGTTCATGTTTATGTCCCAATCGCGGTGTTTGTCATAAAACAGCATTTTTTTTGTAGAAAAGCATAATTGGACAGGATTTTAAGGGGTTTAGTGTCATTTAATTGTCTCAGTAGTAAAATTTTATGAAATAGAATTTCATATGCATGTCTTACTTTCAGTGTCATAAGATATCGAAGAAAAAATATCCATTACAAGCTAGTAAAAGGGTCCACATTTAAAAAAAAAAAAAATATTTGAACAAGGTTATCATTGGTTATTGTAATATTACACGCAGTCTGTAACCTTTTACATCTTCCAAATTTTCATTTAACAATATATTTTGTTATTAATCTCGTAGAGTCCAAACGTAACGGAATCTTAATTAAGCCTTTAAATATGAAAATAAAGAAATCTTTAGTCCGATGGAATGGCACTTTTCTTCAGCAGTTAACTAGTTAACGATTTACGCAGTATCAAAGAATTACATTACATGTAAGTCTCTCAAGAATCCGTATCTTTGATTGGCAGAGAGCAATCGCGGGAAATTCCAAAATTCTATTTCATTTCCCAATAAAACGCAACATTCATGACAGCACGTGTTTCCCGTGACAAAGTTACTACAACGCATAGGAAAACAAACTAAGCCGTTACTTTTCTCAATTGAATTGATTCATATTTGTTCGTGGCCTTTTATAGGCGACCATACGATACGGGTTTTCTCATTGTTGAAGGCCATACGGTTACCTATAACTGCTTACATCCACTTCATTTGAACTTTGATGGATAGTTGTCTCATTGTCAATCATACCTCATCTTCTTATTCTTATACTAAAATTTGATACAAGTCACAATTTCATGGTTGTAGCATAAAAACTATGATGTAATTATAAGAATTGAATGCTTCTTTTTGTTGTTTTAATAGGGTTGTACAAGTGTTGATCGTGCGCACATTTTTAGTATCAAGCACTTCCGCCTCTTCATATAAAATGTGCTTCGGTCAACGCTTTTTCACTGTCATTAAACTGCTAAAGGAGCTTTCAATTCTTAAACAAGTTCTTTTTACAATAGTTTATCCCCGTGGAAACGACGCATATTAATATGTTTAACGGATCTTATTTCACACAATTTTTTTTGTAGTAATATATATATAGATACGCAACATAAGTAATTATCATATACTAAGTTTGATACTTACACCTTTGCGTAGGAACTATTTTCTTTTAAATATGCACTACTTTCCAGTATGTTCTTTTTTTGATCAGGCCGAATTGGCGTCGTTACATCTTAAAAAGTCTATCCAAATCATTTTGCAAAGAATTCCGTTCAAACCGGTGCTAGGGACCGTCCTTAACTTGCAGTGAGCTGAGAGGTTTTTTTTTGCTCCGTGTTAAATGCCTCACTGTGACTATGAGGTGAAAAACAGCAATATCAGCGCTGTTCCTTTGCTTTTTGTGTGTTTTATGCGGTGCATGTACTGATTTTGAGTCATGGATGGATACCCCATATCTTTTGTTCTTCTATTAATTTCTTATTAGTTTTACAGATAAACTAAAATACGATTAAGTTAGCTTGTTATGTTTAATCATTGCTGTGGTATTTTCGGGAATAAATAGTATAAATTTACCATCTATACTTTTCACGAGTTGCTTCCCCTATCTAGTTTTACGACGATGGACTCGTTGTCATATATATAGCTCTAAATTATTTTAATATGAATTTAGAACAAGATATAACATAGTTATTCTACACTTGAATATACATATATTAAGTACCTACGTTATAAACTACTTTAGCGGACGAAATAGCTTTGAAAAGAAGGAGGATAATTGGGAGGGTGACGAAAACATATACCGTTAACATCATCATAAGAAAACGGATACCGTTCATTGATTTGAGACAACCATTTTGTACATGTATGTAACAGCCACTGGGAAATGATGATCGATGTCTATTGTGTACTTTTAATAACATTCATGTTCTCTGAACATTCTCTTCTTGTCTGGACTGATTCGAATTTGAATATGAAATATATAGTATTAGTGCTTTGTTAATGTGATTACCGAACATCTCATTTAAATCATATCTATAAAAGACTAATCATTTTTTTTAATTAAACTGTATAATTCTTAAACGTCAGAAATGAGTTCAAACTGTTTCATGTACAAATTACAATTTTGATAATGTTTTTGTGTGTTTTCAGACAGCCGCATTCTTTCTTCAACTGATTATTTTATACCTTGTGTACCCTGGCTCTACGTGCAGGAAACACCTCTGTTCACAACCAGACAATCTCCATGAACGATTCCTCAGGATAAACAAAGGACTGGACATTAAAAACATTCTAATGGCAGATCATCAATATAATAATACCCAGGACATTTATCAATTACAATTTCTCAGCAAGGCACATGAAATAAGTCGAAAGTGTCCAACAACGACATTAAAGGGAGATTACCCAGTCATGTTCCGATCAACATGTCCATGGTTCCTCGATACTGATAGTAATAAACACAGATACCCGAAAGATATTATATTTGCAAATACAAGATGTAATAAAGGATGTATAGGTGGCAAGAAAGGTCAAGTCTGTGAGAAAATACAAGTTCCAATTAAAGTGTTAGAGCAAACTTGTTGCAAACATCACAAATTCCAATATGAGGAAGTGGAAATACTTCTTCCTGTCGCTTATACATGTACTCAGTTAAAAGAAACAACTCAAAGTATAGAAATTAAGTCGTATGGAACCGACATTCCAATTGCATTATGATTTATTGTCTCAAATTTCAGCGAACTATGGATAATGTCAAAGAATGTTTTTTAGTCAATACAGTTTTGCTGTTAACGTTGTCATTAATAGACTAACATGGTTAGTTCAAAGTGCTGAACATATAATCCAAAAAGACAAAAGCGTAAGCAAGTTACAGTCCTATTTATAACCATCTATGTTAAATGTGCTTTAATTTATGTAATGGTAAGGTAAAGAGTAAACTGGTAATAAAATATCTGTTTAAGAATAATCATTATCTTATATATTTAAACAAATTATTGAATCAGTATATGAAAGGTCCGGCTAACTGAACCATGTCTTACTTTTTGTTGATTGACTTTGTTTATACATATATTTCCTCAGAGGAGTAGATTGCTGGTGGTTTTTTTTGTCTTTTGTTCTATAAGCGGGTCAATCGTTGGTGGTCATATTGGTCTGTCGTTCTTTGAAGTGGTCAATTGTTGTAGGTAATTTTGGTCTGTTGTTCTAAAGGACGGTCCAATATATTTGGAATTTGTCTCTTTTATTGTACATAAGATTGACATGAACATGGAGTGCCGTGGAATCAATCTGCTTTAGAATAGTTTAAGGAGATCCCAACCCCATGATCTCAACCCTAACACGTTTATTTTTGTACGCTTGATTAACCAAAAGTACCCGTATAATGAATAACAAAACCGCAATTAAACAATACCGTACTCACTTATTCATTTCTTCCTCGTACAAATAAGAAAAACCAAAAAAATTAAAAAAAAAAAAAACGGAGGCCACCAGATTAACCCACATTGTCTAAACATAATTTGGTGGTTTTACTTTAACCTTTTTATTTTTTTTCATTTATATGCTGTTATATACAACTCTTTATAGTTATTCGTTTTGGTTTTGGTTTTTTTTATTTCTGGGCTTCTGCACACATGTAGTCTCGTTTGTGTCCAGTAATGGTGTTCATAAGACCTCTTACTGTCCTTACTTTAATTGTGTAAGTCAGCTAGAGAGGCGCTAATTTAACCTTATCAGATATACCGATTTTCTGTTAAAATTACCAGTCCACCGAACTGAAATGATGTCGATCACGTGACAAGGTCAGCATTTTGGTGGTTTATACTCTGGTGTTTATGATATACACCTTATCGCTATTTGGAAATCTGAGCCCGTTGACCCGAGAATCTGCGCCGCTTGAACTATTGACGTCATACAACAATCACTTTTCCATTGTGGCTTCAGATATTTTCTAACAAAAATTTTACGGGAACCTTTGCGATGTCCAGTAATGGCGGACAAATAGCGATAAGGTGTATTGGAATCAGTGTGGATCTCAATAAAGAAGTCTCGACCTAGAATCACGCGTTAATATTTTCGTTTACCACTTTGATAGAAGGGAAAACTTTTTGGTGAGAAAATGAAGAAGTTTTCAAATTAAAATTGAGCAATAGCAGTATAGAGTGTAGAAATGACGAACGAATGATATTGTTGTAAACATTTAGTGAATGTAACTAAAAACGTTGTAGCAATCTTTTTTTTTAAGTGTAAAGAATTCAAATTTACTCGGCTGGTAGAAATTCACTTCTTTCCAATGAGTTTTGAAAGTCTCATTGGGAGGTGTTGTCAGCCAATAAACCATATAAAAATAAGGAGATGATGTATGATTGCCAATGAGACAACTATCCACCAAAGTTCGAATGAAGTGGATGTAAGCAATTATAGGCAACCGGACGGCCTTCAAAAATGAGAAAAACCCATACACTGTATAGACAGCTATAAAAGGCCCCGACATAAAAAGTATGAAACAATTCATGTTTTGAGCCACCATTTTCTTCATAAACATTTGTCTTTGAATTCTGTTATAACATATTTACTGCGTTTCAATTTTCCAACATTCCAAACGTCAGTCAACTTCCCTATATTTGACTTGTGTTAATGCCAGTTCCCCACAATAGACAAAAAGAAAGAAAGAAGAAATTTTACAACACCCTGGTTGTCTTATAGTTTGTGTTTTTTTTTTAAATGATGATACTGCATACTGCCGTGCTTTATGATATTCCGGTAGATATCCATAATGCTATGGTGATATTCTTCTTCAGTGTTATAAGCTAAAATACAGCATGGAAATAAATATGATAATATCATTCCCTCTCTATACAAACTAGAACTGTGATCGCGTTCAATGAAGATAGTCTTAGTCCACCCAGAGCTACACAGTAATCCACGTTTCTGGGCATATGAATAAACAAATGATGAATCAGTGAAAAAACGGCCTCTTTTTGTACCTTACCTTATAAAAATAAGAAGATGTGGAATGACTGCTTATGAGACAACTCTCCACAAGAGACACAGAAATTAACAACTATACTTGTCTGATTGTACTGCAGAGAGTGAACGTTTTGACAATTGCATAAGAACGCAATAAACGTACACAAAAGTTAAAACGAGTAGAGCGTAGTGAGAACCTACTGCAAACTTTTAGAACTGGGAAAAAACGTGTTGCTGACTTGTTCAGAATTTGTTATTTTGTATTTATCGTATATAGACGGAATAAAGACGCCCTTAAGACGTAATGAGGTCGAGTTGGTTCCGTGTGTGAACGGGATGAATGTGCTACAAAAGGATTCGATCTGAATGCACGCGTATATTCAATTCACGCCCGACCACACCACGTCAAAGTAAGTCCCTAGTACGTTCCAAGTAAGGCAATTCCGTTCGTAGCACGTCCACTTCGTTTAAAGTAAACTGCCACTACGTCTAACTGCAGGACAGGATGGTCGAACGGACATTTTGAGCAGACTCAAAGTTCTGGAGCACCATTTCCGATCAAACCCACCCATGAATTAAGTTCGTAAACAGACCGTTAAAAGTTGCTTCTACGTCCACTACATTTGCACACAGTGTAAGGCCGTTTGAATACATTTTCCAGAACGTGGTGAGAAAGAGTTTGGTGTGACGGGGGCATTACATGTATATACCAGTGTATCATTTAAGATCGTGTGTTGACCTGAACACGTCTAATGTGTGTGTTGTTTTGTAGCTGTCTCTTGGACGTCTCCTTTTAATATTATATAAACAATATCTTGTGAATCATCTAAGAAGCTTAAGAAAGAATGACACTGAAACGCTATAAAGCACGACAAAATGCTCATCAATTCAGCCGGTTACAATTTATACATGAGGGTGTGGATGTGGGGTTTACAGAATAGAGAGTAATGGGCAAAAAATATAAAGAATAGAGAAAAATGGCCCCAAAAAATACAGAATAGAGAATAATGAGGTGCTTAAATATAAAAAATAGAGAATTATGGGCAAAAAGTATAAAGAATAGAAAAAATGGCATTAAAAAAAAGATTATAGAATTAAAGAACAACTCCCCCCCCCACCATTTCCCTCATACATGAGTGTATAGAAGTTTCAACAGTTATTTGAACATACCGCGCATTTCTTTTACATTGATGAGATGTATCTGTTAGGAAGTACGTGTTTATTGACCAAGCTACAAACCACAAAATATAGGATAGCCAGAAACATGATATAGGGCCAAGACCGACGGTAGACCTAAGACAAAATGGGTCGAATGACTTAATGGGCCTAAACATAACAGCTGAAATACGTCAACTTTGTTTTCCTACGGAGTGGCTGCCTTATAGTTTTACAGCAATAACATCGTTTTATGAACTATATTCAAAGACAAAATTTATCATTAAAATCATACCAATGGGTAACTTCGTTGGGATATATATCATTCGAAAAAAGACGCTACCGGGCGAATTGTACGTTACGGATATATGACATTAGAAACAAAAACTTTCTAATTGGTATTTTTAAAGAACACTTTTAAGTTTAGGAGTTTTAATACAGTCTAGGGTTCATTGCAACTATATAATTGCATTACATAGACCTTTTATGCTTTTGGGTTTTTTTTTTGGGGGGGGGGGGGTTCACACTGTTTTGGATATGTGCAATTTGAGAGACTCTCAAAAATTCAGACCAGAAGAAGACTCTTGCAAATTGACAAACGGAACGTATAAGATAGATTCAATAAAATATTATCTTTCATGCCAACTGTTTGTCGCCATAATTCATTCAAACTGTATAAATAACAATCCTTGTTTTCTCTTTTTACAAATATGCGAAGATATATCTTTAATATAGATAGCAAATATTAAATGCGCATTTACTGGTGTTTCAAAACAAAACATCAGATTACATAATGTTTTATTTTAATATTTTCCACTGACAAACAAATCCACATTCCAATCAAAAGTTTACCACACGTGTATTTTCATATATATGGGCTCGGTTCATGTTGTCCAATAACAGGGTACATGTTTGACATCACATGCGTCGCCTTGGATAAACAATGGGAAATCAAGGGGGAAAAGTGACGGATTACAATTAACGTATATTTCCTTTTAGTCGGTTAAATACTCAACAACACAAGAAACGCACATTTTTCTTGTAACTGCTTAAAATACTAAAAAAAATATTTTTTTCTATTTTTCGTTGTCTAACATACATTTGCAAAACCTAAAAACAAAACCAATGAATAATGAATGCGTTTTTTCTTTCTTTGGAATTTGCCTAATAGTAACGGTTACAACATTGATTGATTGACGTGTGGTGTTAAACGCCACTATCAGCACTGTTGGCTACATTGTGGCGGCCAGTTTGTATTGAACAGAGGAAGCCGGAGTGCACGGAAAGATCCACTGACAGTCGTAGTCAATTAAGGATGTTCGCTACTCTGTTTCAAAATAACAAGCTTTTAAAAGACTGTTATACATTGATAGTTTATAAATAAAGAAACTAAAAAAGCAGATAAAAAATGAAGGGTCCGTGTGCTTGTTTTCGAGATATATGCCATTGAAATTTGGCGGGAAATACTCTCTAGATTTTTCAAACATTTAACATTGTCACCTTTTTTCTTTCAAAAAAGATGAAAAAATAACAATGATTTTATAAGATTATCAAAGATGACATTTTAAACTATATGTACATTGTAATCAAAAAGTAGGGGTAAGTGGGCAAAATTTTTAATGGCACTACATGGTTAAAACAAGAAGATTCCGAATATCTGGCAAAAATTAAAAAACAAGAGGAGTGAACATCCTTAAGATTTGAGTCGAACAAGATTGCAACGCTGACGGCTACAATATGTTTTTATTTATTGTTTGGTTTTCAATATATGATACTGATCAAACTGTAATGTCTGTTACACTGATCAAACTGTA